AATAATAATAATAATAATAATAATAATAATAATAATAATAATAATAATAATAATATTAATAATATTAATAATATTAATAATATTAATAATATTAATAATATTAATAATATTAATAATAATAATAATATTAATAATATTAATAATAATAATATTTTAATAGGGCTATTAGTAATAAATATCTGTAGTCTTGATTTATAACAGTGTGCATATTTTTTATTAACTTTATTAAAATATATAAAATAATAAATAAACTTAAACAAATAATAAAAATAATAAATTAGTAGTAAACAAATAATAAATAAATAAACATCACATATCAACATACACTGTACACAATAAACAGCGATAAACAGCTATAAACAAATAAACAATACACCCTAGACAATAAATAATAAATAACAATAAATAATAAATAATAAATAATAAATAATTACAAATAATAAACAACTATAAATGATAAAGACTTTGTACGATACAAATTACTTGTTAAGGGTGCTGACAACAATAGATAGAAAAAGAGACAGAAAGAAAGTAAAAGAAAAAGAGACAGAGACAGACAGAGACAGAGAGACAGAGACAGAGAGACAGAGACAGAGAGACAGAGACAGAGACAGAGACAGAGAGACACAGACAGAGACAGAGAGAGACAGAGTGGCAGGGACAGAGACAGAGAGACAGAGACAGAGACAGAGACAGAGACAATGAAAGAGACAGAGACAATGAAAGAGACAGAGACAGAGACAGAGAGACAGAGACAGAGACAGAAAGAGACAGAGACATAGACAAAGAAAGAGACAGAGACAGAGAAAGAGAGACAGAGACAGAGATAGACACAAACAGAGACAGAGATAGACACAGACAGAGACAGAGACAAAGAAAGAGACAAAGAAAGAGACAGAGACAGAGAGAGACAGACAGAGACTAACTGAGGGGGAAGCAGGCGAGACAGAAGGAGACAGCAAACATAGACAGTTAAACGGAGACACCAGACAAAGAATGCAGACAATCCTCTCTCAATCGATTATTGATATTTAAATGCTTCAATCATTCAGGCAACATCTAGGAGGGTTTAGGGTTTAGGGTTTAGGGTTTAGGGCTTGTCTTGTACTTGGCTTAATGTATGGGCTGTGGTTTGTTTGTTTTTTTGTGTTTTATTTCTTTAATTTAATCTGCTTTATTTTGTTTTATCTTATTTAAATACTTTATTTTATTTTATTTGTTTTATTTGTTGCTGCAGAGAGACAATTACAAGAACTCCAGAGGGCTGTTGCTGACACCGTCTTGGAGACAGGTGCAAAGGGTGAGTTTATTTATTTATTTATTTATTTATTTATTTGTCTGTTTATTTATTTATTTATTTATTTATTTATTTGTCTGTTGATGCATCCACTTGTTTATTTATTTATTTATTTTTATTTATTTGCTCATTTGTCTGTTTATTTATTCATTTGTTTGTTTTTTTGTTAATTAATTTATTTATTTGTTTGTTTATGCGTTTGTTTGTTTATTTATTTGTTTGTTTTTATTTTTGCATCAGGTGTCTCCCCATCCTTGTTTGTTTATTTCTGTCTCTTTTGTTTTATATGTTGAGTGTGTGTCTCTGTCTCTTTTGAGTTTACTTGTTTGTTGTTTTTGTCTCCTGTCTCCTTTTGTCTGTGTCTTTATTATTTTTTGTTTGCTTTCTTGACGTGCTGTCTGTCTCTGTTTTTTTCTCGCTTTGTTTGCTGCAGCACCTGCCCCCTTTGTTTCTACTGCGTACATCAACGTACCCCCAGCAGCAGCAGCAGCAGGAGCAGCAGCAGCAGAAGGAGGAAGAGCAAAGACAGAAACACATGTCGCCTCTTTACAAGTCTTCTTTCAGCGCGTCGCCCCACAGGGAACGGATCCCAGCCGTCTCCTCAGCGATTTATTTTCTTCGCCTGTTCCTGAATTTTCTTTTATGGGTGAGAGCAGCAAAAGGAGACAGACTCCTGCTGCTGCTGCTGCTGCTGCTGCTGCTGCTGCTGCTGCTGCTGCTGCTTTTCTTGCTGCCGCTG